AGCATAAGATTTTTGAAAAATGAAAAATAATTTATTTCATTCTTTCATAAGATAAAGTCATGTTGTTATTGAATAATCATTAACAAAAATTACAAAACATTTGTAACAATTATAGAACACAATTCTATTAGGACTCCAATGGGGTGTTCTTTTTTTGGATTTTGAGAAGGGGGAAAGTTGGTCAATGGGATTTTGGTTCCCATTAACCGAGAATCTAATGTTCTTTTTCAAATTTATGTGGGGAACAGAAAAAGTTTATTTTCTTGGATACCACTTACCCAGGTAAGTGATACCCATATCTTAGGTGGGTAAATAACTTTCCCACCTAGGGGGAAAGTTGCCAACACTTGAATGAGACAAAAATGCCTCTTCTAATAATGGATTTTTATGGCTAAAGTGGTCATTGTCTTATTTACATGAGAAATAAAAGAACATGGGTAAATGCACTTATCTGGGTAAGTGTTTCCCAGGAAAAACTTACCCAGGTAGCTACATTTACCCGAGTAAGTAACTTATCGAAAAGCGAACAGGGCCAAATGTCTAAATGAATTAAAACTTCAGACAATATTACCAACTCTATGACTAATGGGAACAGAATAATGTTTCCCATATTGGCATGATTCACACTCCAATGATAAAAGATATTTAATGACATAATAAGAGACATAAGTGCTTGAAAAGATGAATGACCAAGTTTGCAATGCCACTAGATAAGTGTGAGGATTGAAATGCTACTTTTGGGCCACCACCATTGAAATAATACAATCCACCTATTTCATGCCCTCTACCAATCTTTATCCCCACCTTGAGATCTTGAAAGACATATGAGGGTGGATAAAAAGTTGTCAAACAATTGAGATATTTAGTTAGTTTACTGATAGATATAAGTTTAAAGAGGAATTTAGGAACATACAAGACATATGATAAGGAAAGAGATACTAGATCAACATTACCAATACCACAAATAAAAAAGGTTGAGTTATTGGTTAAAGTAATAGTTTGTAAAGAGGAAGACTAAGAAAAAGAGAAAGATATACTTGGAGTCCCAGTCATATGATGAAAAGCTTTAGAATCAATAATCCAATGGAATGTGGAAGAGGAAAATCCACCATTCCCACCACCTCCTTGGGTGCGCACCAAGTAGACCTATCAAAGGTAGTAACTATTAGGGGTGAGCAAAAAAAATCAAAAAATCGAACCGATCGAAACCGAACCAAAAAATCGGTTAACCAAACTAGTTGGTTCGGTTTCGGTTTGATATTCTTAAAAAACCGATAGTTTCGGTTTGGTTTTGGTTAACCATTTAAAAAAACTGAGGGTTAACCAAACCGGATGATATATATACAATAATATATATTTATATAATATTATATTTTTTTATTGTTTTTTGAGAATCGAATAAAAGAGTTCGGTAGTTTGAGAGACTTTCAGCCTTTCTCTTTGAAATTTGAACCTTTCAATTGAAAGTTCGGAAGTCTGCTAGAGTGCCAGACTGCTAGTCTCCATCAATTTTCTCTTTTGTCTTTTCCCCAGACTGCAAGAGTGCTAGACTCTCCCAGTCTTTTCTCTTTTGTCTCTCTCAGTCTCTCAGTTTTCTATTTTGTCTCTCTCACTCTCTTAGTTCTCTTACTTTTCTTCTTCGACTCTTTGTATTCCCCACTCCAGACGGCCGCGTGGCCCGTGCCAACCACCAGCACGGCAGCACCAAGCGGCAACGTTGGTCGCCGCCTCGCCAACAAGCAAGGACCAACGGTCCAATGCCATCTTTGATCTTTGTATCTCTCTTCTATTGCATTGGTTTGGTTTCAATTTGGATATTTAAAAAATCGATTAGGTTGATTTGATTTGAAAAAATACCCCATGGTTCAGTTAACCTTACCGTGAGCACCCTAGTAACTATCTTTGTAGGTTCAAAGGAAACTCTACGAAATCTAGAAAATACCTCTTCAAAAGAGGGAAGAGCTTAACCACCCAAAATTTGTGCTTGGACAAGTTCATATTCTTGCTTAAAACCCAATAGGAATCATGTTGCGACAAGTTGCTTCTTAATAATATCAATGACAATTGCTAATAAACATTAGTTCATTAAGATGCTAGGATTTTCTTTCAAGACTTTGATTCCTTTGTTATAAATTTGATACACTTTATTAGAGCTTCTAGTGAATTAAAAAACATAAAGTTCACACCTATATTTGGTTCCATAATGTTATAACAAGAGCATTTTCTTAGGGGGTACTTCTCAAATAAACAACTAAGGGCCTATACCCTTAAATATTTTCCACTCGTCACATGACCATTTGGTCCATTTCTAAACGGCACTAGGGGCTACACAACCCAGAGGATATTGGGTCAATCATGATATGCCAAGTTATCCTGATCCTGAATAGGCCTTAGAGACCGAATCAACACCCCACAATGTCTCACATTACATTCCGCCATATATTAGAAACATCTCTCCATGATGACACTATCATTCTTGATATTATCATTAGGAAATGTTTCCAATACACAACAGGGTGTGGTCCCAGAAGTTGTGGGGGACAGTCTTGTGGGGCAGTCTCGAAAGATGTTCTCAATACATGGCAGAGATATAGTGTGGTGATGGGATGTACTCCTCACAAATGGGCGCGTCACAGACACATCCACCGTACATTAGGAGCATCTCCCGTGAATAATAATTAATAAGAGCGGGAGATGTTCTCAATGCATGATCGGATGTGCGTGTGTGGAGCAGATCCGGTCCTTGTGGTGTGGGACGTTGTGGGGCTGATTCGGTCTCAAAGGCCCAAGTGTACAGAGATGATGTGGTGTATCATTATTGGCCCAATATTACGTGTAGAACTGTAGGCGAATAAACTCATGTTCCTCGTGGAACAGTTTGTATTCAGGGATCCGGGTTGTCGAAGTTCGGACGACCGACGAACCGCTTCTCCCATTGCAGTACGCTGCTCTCTCTTTCTCTCTCTCTCTGTAGTGTTGATTTGGGGGTCGAGAAGACGACGACGAATTGATGACTGAGAGTTATTCGAATCGATTGGGTAAATCTGCAAAGAAAGGAAGAGAGATATTGCCCGTTACAAATCTGAATGAACTTCTCCTTGGGGCTTGGATTTCCCTCTCCATTTACGATCTATTCAAGTTAAATTTCATAGCTTCGATCTGGATTTGTTACAGGTACCTAATTCCAGATCACGTAATAAACTATTTTGTTTATATTATGTACTTAATCAAAGTTGGCTTCTCGTAGCCTTGTCTCACGTTTCAGAGTTTAGAAGCACTAAACCAAGCAAGTAGATAGCTTGCTAGTTAAACAACAGCATTTCAATGCTTCTTTATCATGCCATTTCTTAATGGTCTGTAGGTCTGTATATTTTGTGCTTCTTTGCCATCTCTCGAGATTTCGACAAATTTCTATTAACTTTTGTGGTGCTTCTTCTCTATGAAAACTCTGACGTTTTTAATAAAATTTTCATTTCTAACTTATTGACATTCCCATTGGTATTGCCGTTTTGAACCTTAGAACCAATTAGGAAATTGTTTGATGGGTGCCATGTAAAATTCTGGTCAATAATAGCATTATATCGAAACTGTATATTGTTTGCTTGGGTTTAAGGAATTTGGAAATTATTTTCAACATTTAGAAAATTACGTTGGACATCTTGTTCCTAGGGAGTTCAATGAGGATTATCAACCATGAAATAGTCTAATTTGTGAAAATTCTTACCTTGATGGCAATTAAGATGGCTTGAAGCTAGAAATGCATAAAGATAATGATTATAAAGGCTTGTTTTGTTTTGAAAAAACCTCCTTTTACTCTTGTTGTGAATGCAGATGATGGAATTATCAATTATACAATTTGTTGAAAATTTCTGTAAAAAATGAAATGTTGGCTGAATATATTGGTAATTACATCCATGTTCTGTACCAATTAATAGAATTCTGTTTTCTCTTCTAGATGTCTAATGACGTTGAGAATCCAAAAGGTGGTGAGGCACAGAAAAGCCCAGATACTTCCTCCAGTGAAATCGAAGTGACCTGGTATAATAGCTTTCTCCAACATGCATCAGTATATGGTGTTGCTGCTGGATACTGTATTTCAGCATCTCTTTTGTCAATCATAAACAAATGGGCCGTTATGAAGTTCCCATACCCTGGGGCTCTGACTGCTTTACAGTACTTCACTAGTGCAGCTGGGGTTTTCCTTTGTGGGCGGCTTAAACTTTTAGAGCATGACCCACTTGACATATGGACCATGTGGCGCTTCCTACCTGCAGCAGTGATATTCTACCTCTCCCTCTTTACAAACAGTGAGCTCCTTCTCCATGCCAATGTTGACACTTTTATTGTCTTCCGGTCAGCAGTTCCCATTTTTGTTGCAATTGGAGAGACCCTCTACTTGCACCAACCTTGGCCTTCAATCAGGACATGGATCTCATTAGCCACTATTTTTGGTGGAAGTGTGCTTTATGTTCTTACAGATTACCAGTTTACACTGACAGCCTACAGCTGGGCACTGGCATATCTTGTTAGCATGTCTATTGACTTTGTGTACATAAAGCACGTGGTGATGACAGTCAGCCTCAACACATGGGGTCTTGTACTCTACAACAATCTTGAGGCCCTCTTCCTGTTTCCACTGGAGCTGCTTATAATGGGGGAGTTGAAGAAGATAAAGCATGAGATCTCAGATGAGTCAGACTGGTATTCTTTTGAGGTTGTTTTTCCTGTGGTTCTATCTTGCCTGTTTGGTTTGGCCATTTCTTTTTTCGGTTTCTCTTGCCGAAGGGCAATTTCAGCAACAGGATTTACTGTTTTGGGCATAGTAAACAAGCTCTTGACGGTTGTAATCAATCTAGTGATCTGGGACAAGCATTCAACAACATTGGGGACTGTGGGTCTTTTGATTTGTATGTTTGGTGGAATTATGTACCAGCAGTCCACAAGCACTAAGGCCAAGGTTGCTACAGAAGCAAAAACACAAGGTAGTGAGGAGGAACAGCAAAAACTACTTGAAATGCAGACAAGGACAGAAAGCAATACCACTGAAAAGGAAGCTGTGGGTTCAGGAGAGTTAAAATGAGGGCTTTCTTTCCCGTTTCCCCATTTGAGCACAATATTTATGCATTCATTTATTGTATTCTTGTTGTAATACATCATTTAAAAAGGAATCTTTTTTTTTTTCACTTCAATAATTGGGGTAAAGCTGATGGATTTTGATTGTCATCGACTGTTGGAAAGACTACAATAGCTGTTGTTCTTTGATAGGTAATGGGTCATTTTGTTAAATATAAAACTTTGGATTATTATAAAGTAGATTCACGAAAAAAAACCTAGCCTAGGAGATTGGGGATCAAAAAAATAAGGAGAATCTATAATACCTCTACATGCTTAGTGTATCTATGTCAGACATGATACTTAGATGATACAACAATAAATAGTGTGTAGAGTTATAACATAAATGCCTCTAAAATATGTAAAATGGTATATTTTATTTTATGTTTTGGATGGAATGGTATTTCTTATGAAGCATACTTTAAACAATATGTTTATGCTAGAAGCTTAATTAAATTTGGCAAGATATGAGTAATTGGGAATGATGCTTAGCTTAAAAAAAAATCTAGATATAAAGCATGGTGTAAGTATATTGAATGGGACCTAAAGTCTAAACCTGTATCCGTGTCCGGGATCTTACCAAATGAAAAAGATGGCCTGAATCCCCAAAAGAAATAGCAAAATAAAAACATCAATATCTTACAATATACTTCAATTGACTTCTTACGTCAATTGTGTGGATTTGAACTTTTCCAAAATCAATTCTGACTATATAATATCTTGATTTATGAACTATATGTGCCTTTGGATTCTTGGAAGTGGTTTGGACTTGTCTTAAAAAATCATAGACAAATTCTTTATTTGGCCATTGCTGAATCATACAAAGAGGTAATGGTGGTAGCAGATTTCTTGGATAGAGAAAGGGTGAATATGGATGAGCTGCTTGGAGTCCTGCCCAAGGGGTAGGTGATCTTGTACATATTGGACACTTGCTTTGTTGCTCGTAGGGAGTTGCTGGTTGCTCTTAGCCTAGCAACTGATTTTCCTTGTACTTTTCTTATCTGTGACACTGATATCATATTCAACAGAGTTGCATTTATCTGTTTCTGATTAGAAAGGTCAGCATTCAATGAACAAGTCAGTGCAATCTTTCTCCCCCCCACATTAAACACCAGTTAGCCAATTTGATTATACCTCCTTAGCTTATCCACCATCAGGATCTTCTTTTGATGGCTTTTATCTTATTCTTTTTGACAATAAAGAAAAACAATTCAATCAAAATATCTACTCTTGGGGAAATAGGGAAATACAAGTCTTTCATACACCTTCACAAGACACAATTTGTCCTCCAATGAGTTTACTGTAGAAAGATCTCACTGTAAAGTGTAAACATCTCCTTGTGTTTTTCCATCCAATAGAATCAATTTTCCCTAGATAAGCCTGCTATATTCCCGTTCAAGTGTTTCATGAGCATCATATATTCCTCCATTTCCCTTGAACATAGCGACCTATGAAATATTTGCTTCCAAACCACCCTCATCCACTGACTTAGAGCATGAGTTACTGTGCAATTCCTAGACAGGTTCAAGTGGTACAATTGAGGAAGCACTAGGCTGATGTTTCCCACCTTGCATCAATTGATGGAGGGCAAAAATCTGCTAAAGGAAAGAGGATTCTATTGTAAGCTCCGGGCCATTCATAGGCCTACTTGCAGCTGGATGCATGGAGAAATTTTTGTAGATATTGCTTATTAGAACCATTAAATCCTTTATCAAGATTGCCAAAATCTCTTATTTTGAAAAATTGAAGAAAATAAAATCTGCCTTCAGATGTTTGGGTACAATTCTGCTCCAGAATCAATATTTGAAAATGAGTTGAGACAAAAGTGTTTCTTTTTTGAAGCTAAATATTTTTAGCTCCAAAGAATCAATTCTTCAATTGAGTTTTGAAAACCTCCTCCCCCCTGAAAAAAAAAAAATTAGTTCCAGAAATTTTTGTACATCCAAACATAAAACATTGATTCTTAGAATCACATAGTTCATCAAAATTAATTCTCTGAAACCATACCAAACACAGCCTTAGTTGCCGAGTTTATTATTGAGTTGTCTTCTAGGTTATTTCCTATTTTGAGTTTACTCAGGAATATATTTACTTGTTAGACCTTAGAAAATATTTAGGGATTTGAAAGATTTTAGAAGATCTGTTTCCTTTCTTTTTCAGCTTAGAAGACCTTAGGAAATTCTGGAGAGGTCTATATTCTGTCATAATAAGCATACTCTTATGTGTCTATAAATACAGGTGGAAACATTTGTAAGGAAATACATCTTATTTTCATGTTTGCTTCTTTGGTTTGGTGTAGATTCCAAACATTTTGAAGGTGATGATTCCTTCAAGCTATTAGTGCTGGCTCCTAATAGACTCTCTAGGTACTGACTCCTAGTGAATTGGATGCATTTCAGATCTGATTTGAGTCATTTGATATTGCCCCTACACATTTGATCTGCATTCAGTATTGAGAGTTTTGTCCTACATCACCAATGTCCTCCCATTTTCCCCATTCCCAACTTAATATTTACTTCTGGAAATGAGATAATCAAAAGTCTACACAATCCCCTCTATACACAAAACATATTTGGTGTGGTAACCTAAAGGGTACCCCCTGCCACATTGTGTATTCCATCTTCCATACTCCTTTGTCAACAACCTCTCCATATTGCCTCTTGCCCCATTCAAAAAGCCACAGATATTTCCCAACAAACTATTACAAAAGCAGGCAATTTCTTTGGTTTATACTGTTTTTAAAATATTTACTGTCTTAACATGATATACATCTCTGTGTGTGCATCTGACTTTCTGTTCTTATGCCCATCTCTTTCTCTGCCTCTCTTTATTAACTTCTCTCATTCCTTTCTCCTTTTCAATCCCTTCTCTCTCATGGTGTATCTTTTTGTTTCACAATGGTTCACATTAATTCAAATTTCAGTCTTTTAACTTAACATCTGGAAATACATCCCATGAGTTTTGGTTGGAAACAAATATCATAAAGCATGTATGATCAAAATGAGTTACACTCAAAGTGAAATGGATGGGTTGCTGAGAATTCTATCACAGCCAATCTTTTCTCTTTGTTTTATTGCTCTGATTTGTTTGCATGAATTATTCAGAAATTGAGGTGGAGGGAGATTCTCTTGTGGTGATAAGGTGCATGCAGGCCCTTGGTTGATGTCATTTTATCAAGAAGGCCAGGGAACTCTGGCTAATAGAGAGAATACCTTGCTCAATGGATCCAAATATCAGCCAACTCCCTTGTTGATTGATTGCTAGAGAGGGAGTAAACTGTGGTTCTATTATAATTGATGTCTTGGTGTTTGTCTATCCTCTTCAAACCCCCTTGGGGATAAGCTGGTTATTTGTCAACTATTCTGATTTGTTCTCTGAGCATTATATGCTTTTTGGTTTTACTTGTGCTTCTTTTCTTTTGTTTTAACTCCTTAATCTCCATGAGCATCCTTGAATATACCATTTGCTGTTACAGATCAGAATGATATGTGCATATTTATCGATCGCTATTGCTATTACCACTGTAATTATCTTCAGTTGGGTATTTAAGACCTAGTTTGCAATATGTCACATGTTTTTTCTGTTGAAAACATGAATTTCTTATTCATATTTAGCATTTATTTCATCTGTGTGTATCTATATTTTTACTCCCTTTCATGTTCTGACATAACTTTCTAAATATTGGTTGAGGCAAAGCCATTTATTTTGCTTCAATGAAATGTTCATTGTAACTCGTGGCAAAAAATCAAGTCATACCATTTATATCTCTGCTCTGCTGTTAGTTCAACATATTGGCTATGCTTTTGCCACTGAAATTAGAATTTCTTATTATGAAGTATGAACAAACATTGCCAATTGCAGTTATTATTCAAATAGCAATCAAAATAAAAAGGAAAAAAACAAATTTATTGAAGACAATGAGAAAAACCAGTATGCCTATTTGGGTGCACATGGCTCTATTGCAAGAGATTGATGTACTATTGAATTTCAAAGAAATTAAGGTCTACTGATTCTTTTACTTATTTCCTTGTTTTTTATTGGTAATTAAAATGCATTTTTTTAGTTGTCATTTTCAAATCAAAGGGCTACTTCATGTTAATTGGTTCCTCAGTATAGATAAAGACCACTACCCAATGTTGGTCCCAGCTATCTGGGGTCTTTTGAGGGGTAAACTGGATAGGAGATCGGCTTCCATCAGGGCAAACCTGTGCCCACACCGTTCTAATAGTCTTTCCTAACCTTGCATTGGGAATATTGCCCCATAAAATAAAGCACACAAGTAAAGAGATATTCTCAATGCAAGGCAATAAAGGCTGTTCGAACGGGCTTTGCCCTGACTGAAGCCGATAGAGACCTAACCTTTGGCATCTTTTGCACAAGTGGCTACTCTCATACTTCATCCAAGTAATGGCCCATTGGCTAACTGGTACGGATAACTATATTAATCATTTACTTTATTTAGATATTACCCTTTTGTGATTTTTCTCTTGTCACAATCATTTGCAGGCACTTGAAATAGATAAGAAAAAGGAAAGGAGCAGTCGTGCTGGAGAGAAGAGAAGAGACTGCAGATTCGGAGAAAAAGAAAATAATAGGAAAGATGTATTCTTGATTATACATAAACTTTTTAAAGGAATGAATTATAGCTCATTTTTTGCACATGATTATCTTCTTGTAAACAGTCAAGGGATGGCGTATTTATTAGGGGGAAGCTTTTTGTGTTTTCCCATTGAACAGCCTTTAGTTGTACAGGAGTTTTATTTTCTTTGCCTTTTCTTGAAAAAAAGGGGAGAAAAAAGAAAAAAAAAAAAAAAACTAACTCTCAATTGACTACATTTCTCATATATTAAGCTTCATAATCAAGAGAAATTACAGTCTTCTCCAAGAAATAAAAGACTGACCAGGCAGCACAGATGTGGACTCTCTAAAGAGACTAAACCCAACAAATAAAAGAACTAGAAGCATAAATAAGAATAATTATGGCAGGTCTCTTTATACTGTAATTGAGAATGGACTGGTTAGAAGATTAGGATTTTTATGAGACCTCTCCATGAACCCATGATCGCAAAAATGCAACTGAATTAGGCTATGTAGATGTAAGTGGTTCCTTTCCACGATGATAAGAATTGGTCTGCATTGGTTATTTGGTTCTATTATCAGGTTGACACGAGTTCTTTCTGCCCCATTTTATGTTATGGGCCCAAGCGTAGGATCGTGTCACGGGTCGTTCCACGACAGGAACCCTTGATCTTCCCTTGCCTTTGGCCTTGCGCACAGACCCTATTTTGCCTATCTAGTGGGTGATTTGTCCAAGAGACCACCCGAACTCTCCTAAGAGGGTGTTTGTTCAAGAGACCACCCAAACTCTCCTCACTCTTTTCTTGACTGGAAAACTGAAT